TGTAAATATTGCCATAACGTGAATTTTAATGGAAAATTTCCCCACATTTGCGTGGAAACTGAAGTTTGAATACGAGTAGATGTCGCCCCATTTGTTTGGGTAAACAATAAGTAAATGTAATTTAGCTTTGAAAATCCATTTTGGTACCTTTGTCAGATAAAGGGTTATTTAATTTTATAAGTCAGTGGCAAAAGGTCAAAATGGGGAGACAGCCCAACGTTCATATTAAAACACGTGTAGGTACAACTAATAGAAATCCTATAGGGAACATTAGAAGAAAAATAAATTGGTAGGTTTCATTTCAGCCANGAAGAAAAATAAATTGGTAGGTTTCATTTCAGCCATAGGACGTCCACTGCTGAACATAGGCCTCCCCCAATGCTCGTGATCCGGGGAACGCGGGTGTGGTCCCCGCCGCCGCTCGACTATTATGGTGAGCTCACTCGTGACACAAGCATAACGAGGGGCTAACGGGACTATTAGTAATTTGTGTAATAACAAATTAGTAATTTTTTTAATCCATTGGAACTAATGCCATTAGAGAATTTACACCATTTTTAAGCAGTTTGTATATTCTTAATACATTTTAAGCTTGTAATTTTATCATTTTGTAGTTACGAGGAATTTTGTTATTGGCCACACCTACCACGTTATTGAAATTCCACTTTGTATCGCTGTATGATGAGTTTTCAATAAATAAATAAACAGCTTACAATTTTACCAGACTGCGTACTTCATTAGTTAAATCAAGGAAATAATCAAACAACTCAAATAAAGAATCTAATAAGACAGTGAATAANTTATATGATTAAAATCATTTCGAAATCTGCCAAATTCTCGATTTCTGCATGAAAAATGTGACAACGCTCTTAAAGAAAGTTTTTAAAAATTTTGATGCCAGATTGGAAGAAAATTGTAACCGTCAAGGAAATTATTTTAAAGATGTAATTTAAAAATAAACATTGAACTACAAAATTATACAGTAGTAGGCTTAGTGAGGCGGGTCGTTACATTCCCTCTAATATGGTCGAATGAAGCGATGGCTGGTTCACTCGTCATGTCTGTGAACAGGCGCTGCTTTCGGGGACTGGTCAATCCAAGTTATCCTTTATATGAGAGTCATTACTAGGTAATAATTACTAGGTAGGTATTTAAGTATTTTAATCTGTAAGTCTAGATATTAGCACGTCACTACCTTGTTTTTAACCGACTTCAAAAAAGGAGGAGGTTATATGTTCGACTGTAGGTATGTATTTTTTTTTCTATGTATGTTCACCGATTACTCCGTCAATTGTGGACCGATTTTCAAAATTCTTTTTTTGTTCGATAGGGTACAATTCTGAGGTGGTCCCATTGTCACCAAGTCAGGATCTGATGATGGGATCCTAGGGAAATCGAAGGCAACCCTCAAATTTTATAGGCACGTATATCGTTTTTCAAACTTTTTCTTAAGTTATTTAAGTATTTGCTCCTGGAAATCATCATCTCATATTGATGAGCTGATGATAGAAGGTAAAACTCCTTAATGCTTAGGAGTTGGAGGATAATTCTTTTAATTTTATAGATAAGTATAGTTTCTAATGTTATTCAAGTATTTACATCAGATATTCATCATCTCATCATGATGAATTGGTCATGGTAGGTACAACTCCTTAATGCTTAGGAGTTGGAGGATAATTCTTTAAATATTAAAAGTACAAATAGACCAACAGTTGTATTCTTTCATGTTTTTAAAGTGGGCTGACGGTTTGAGGTCTTTTAGGTTTCCTATATGGTAACTTGTATTTTGTATGGAATATTATTTACACTAGACATGAAGAATTATAGTGTCAATGTACTGCCTACCTTCAGTGGTAACATCAAGGTAATAATTAGTTAACTAAAAAGCACGAAATAAGTAAAATTTTATAAAAAAAAATAAAACCGACTCCAAAAAACCTACACTAAAAAGTAGAAAAATAATTACTAATTTCCTACTTATTTATTAGGACGAATTAATATTTATGTAGGTATACCATGATTGATACTTTTGGAGTCGGTGCAGGCAAACTTTACATGTTTCATAATCTTGGCACCGACTCCAAAAGTATCAATCATGGTATACCTACATAAATATTAATTCGTCCTAATAAATAAGTAGGAAATTAGTAATTATTTTTCTACTTTTTAGTGTAGGTTTTTTGGAGTCGGTTTTTCCTTGAATTTTCAAAAGTGCATTTGTTTTTGGGCCAGCCCGTACTTTAACGTCCAAGTTAACTCAAAACTCCGTAATTTCCTTACTTGTAATTAACATTAGCATATTAATTAAGCAGATGTTTCCTCCCCTTACATTCTTAATAGGCAACTCAAAAGGCAAATTGAATTTATTAATGACCCGAAGTTGTTAATTAATTTATTCAATTACACTGATAGCGTTGTAATTTTGTGTGAAATCGATTTGATTGGGTAGAGGAAAATTTGTTTATTTATTTTATCTATATGTCAATTATGGTTATTTATTTGTCCTTACTTAATATATAATATATACTAATATTAAAAAGAGGTAAAGTTTGTGTGTTTGTAATTTGTTAAATTGTAAGGGGTAATCTCGGGATCTACTGAACCGGTTTTAAAAATTATTTCACCAATAGAAAGCCACTTTATTGCTGAGTGTTAATAGGTTATATAAAAAGCCGAAAAATTCCACGCGGGCGAAGCCGCGGGCGGAGCTAGTGACCCAATAAAGCAGTTATTTTTACGAATTTTTGGAATCGTTTTTTTTTTTTGTTTTTTTTTTTCTTATTTTTAGTTGATTCTGTTTTTACAAATGAAGGTTCACTGTGACTATTTGGTGACCCCAACATACAGAGAAGCAAAATCCGCAATTTAGTTTTATTTTGAATCTATATAGAGCTTTCCGAGATTCATACAAAGATCGTAATCTAAATACATATTACTCAAAGGACTGGCTGACAGGCTGACTGACTGACTGACATAGTGATCTATCAACGTACCACTGGACGGATCGGGCTGAAATTTGGCATGCAGGTAGATGTTATGACGTAGGCATCCGCTAAGAAAGGATTTTACGAAACTCCACCCCTAAGGGGGTAAAATGGGATCCACGCTTACGAAGTCGCGGGCGGCTGCTAGTAAACATATAACATTGTAATTAATCTGTTGAAATGGAAGAATTGTCTGACATATCAGCGTTAAGCCCAAACTATTGGGAATAAAAACTAATTCCTTTTCTAAAGTAGATGAGCACCTACTATACCAATTTAGAAGTGCTGTCTCCTACTAATGATCCGCCACAATATGCATCCGTCATGGCTCAAACTCTATAATTTCCTGCCTTATAATCTTACCTTGCTCATTATACTCAGATTAGCAATCAAAGGTGCTTTTAATTAGTGACCAGGATATTGAGGTAATTATGAACTAATTAATTTAATTATTGCAGATATTGGTCAGTTCAGTGGATTGATAAAATTATGTCAAAGCTATACAGTGTACAGCTTTATATAAACCACGAAAAAACACCTAATAAACAACCGCAATTTTATGGTATTGAATAATTTGAATTATTATTAATACTTACTTAAATAGAATTTTTTAATGTAACAGTTTAAGACTGGGTTGCACCATCTTACTTTGACATAAAAGACAATCTGTCAAACAAACAAAGTACAAATAAATAAAAATTCATTTATTTTTCAAAAAATACTTGTATACAGAGTTATTACCGAATCCTCCCGGTAAGAATACAAAATACCGGTTATCATTATAGTTACGGTTAAAGTTAAGTACTGCAACTCAGCCTAAGTATTTATCACTAAAAGTACATAAACCCTTCGAAATAGGCTAGTTTCCTAAAAAAATTTTTTTAGTCCGTCATGTTTAATATCAAAAAATATTGGACACATATATTTTTATTTGTCAATCTAACAAATAATTACATAGTTATGGTGCGTTGAAGTTCCGCACGACGTCACAACGTGCGGCACTTTTATGCAAGCATTAACGTCACGGGCCTCTTCTTATGAACTTTGGCGTGCTTTATCTCTTTAAATTTTCATTAGTTTGAAAAAGTGAAAAATACGTGTAGAGTATTTTTTGATAAGTTAACTGACGGACTAATTAAAACTCTTGCTTTTTGACCCAGGAAACATCCCTATTAACTTTATCATCATCAGATAATTTCGTCTCCACTGCAGAAGGAAGACCTTCTAATCTATACTTCTATACTAATATTATAAATGCGAAAGTAACTCTGTCTGTCTGTCTGTCTGTCTCTTTTTCACGCCTAAACCACTCAACCGATTTTGATGAAATTTGGAATAGAGATAGTTTGAGTCCCGAGAAAGGACATAGGATAGTTTTATCCCGGTTTTGGAAACAGGTACGCGCGTGAAAAAGTTTTTCTGTGACAGATAAAATTCCACGCGGGCCAAGCCGCGGGCGGAAAGCTAGTTCATCATAAGTAAATAAAAGATATACTGGCAAGACGGGTTGGGGAAGCAAGAAAACTGTTTCAAAGATGAATTCGGAACATGAAATATACAGTTTAATATACCAGAAGTAAATTGGTTAAGCTCCAAAATACCGTAACTTATGGTAGAGTTGACTAAACTTTTGCAAGCTCTACAATATTGACGTGACACTTCGCCGCCATTTTTAATTAATTCTGTCACAAAGTGGTATCTGTGCGATGCTCAGTTCCCAAGGGAATTAATCTAGATTAAAATCCACTTGGAAAGGATCGCAAACAAATCGTTGGATAGCTTGTTTTAAAAAATGTAATTCCTTCTCTTTGACGCTGAAGTGATGTGCCACTTTCCAGTAATCCGGATTTAAGCACGCGTGCGGATCTGGCCCTTAAAATTAATATACCTAGCGGTACAAAGCAACAAAGAACTGAGTGAGCGAGATGTCACTAGCAGCAACACTGGTATTTATTGTCCGTGGTGCATAATCTTTTCTTAAAGGTTTTAAACCTTTGTTTGTCACCTGTCATCCGCTTTGCAATGGAGGGAAGTCGAACCTTAATTTCGAACTCCTATGTTCTTCTGATTAATTTCGTTGCGGGTCCAATGACAGTTTAACTTTCCCCCGGGACAAACTTGACCTTCTTTGGTTGGGTTTTTGTGGCGGTCAAGCTGTAGATAATGGCTACACAGGAGTTGCAGTGGTGGGAACGAGAGGTGGGAATAGTCCCGTTAGCAGCAACACTGGTATTTATTGTCCGTGGTGCATATCTTTTCTTAAAAGTTATTGAACCTTTATTTGTCACCTGTCATCCACTTGGAGGGAAGTCGAACCTTAACTGCGAACTCCTCATAATTATGTTCTTCTGATTAATTTTGTTGCGTGTCTGACAGTTTTACTTTTCTCCGGGACAAACCTGATCTTCACTGGTTGGGTTTTTATTGGCGGTCAAGCTGTAGATCCTGGCTACATAGAAGTTGCAGCGGTGGAAACGAGAGGTAGGAATAGTGTCTATTATACGCAAAGGCATCAAGTTAAAAAAGTATTCTTCGTAAATAAAAAGCTTCGTAGCCTGAAATCTGAAAACGTAGGCCATTAGGGCATTTCCTTTAACAATAAAGGTAACTATTGCTTGTCTGTCTGACAATAAAGGTGATAATCGCCTGTCTCTAGACGATGTAGCAACACTGATAATCCAGGACAAAAGCAAAAAAGCCCTCAAGCAATAAATGTGTTTATCGCAGGTCTCATCAGGAGACAAAGTGATTTCGCTACTAAACTACAGTTTTGTTGTTGAAATGTAAACGGAAACTCAGACATATTTTTTTTTTATCCACAACGAGGAAGCTCTTGGCCTGTATCTCACCTGATGGTAAGTGATGAGCAGGCCGAAGGTGGAAGCAAGCTTCACCCGGAATCCTCAACCACGGAGGAAGTGGCTATCTTACCTCGAACTGCCGGAACACAACAATGCTGTTAACATTGCTGTTATGGCGACAGACTTAGGTAAGATGGTGGTAGCTAGCTAGGCGGACTTAGAACAAGCCCTACCACCAACCAAACCGAACAGAAAAATCTGCCCCCACTGGGAATCGAACCCGGGACCTCTGCGTCTGAAGCAGGTGGTCTTACCACTAGACCACAGAGGCGGTTATCAAAGCCTTCCTATCTATTTTATGAATTAAAATACTGCCTACATGTGCGGCATGTAATGCTGTCATAGTAAATGGGATAGATGATAAGTTTTACAACATGCTAGGTTGATGTAATTTCTACTCGAAATCGCGAAACTAAACCGCAGAATATAATACATATGAGTTCGAATCGACAAAGCCTTGTAGATGTTCCTCATACATTGTATGTATGTAATTTTAATATTATACAGGGTGTTGATTTCAATCCTCGCCATATTTACGGAGTTGATTAAGTAGCTTATTCTGATCACGAATCAGAAAAAAATTGACTTGAAAATGAAAACGAACTTTAACTTTAGTTATTCAAAGAAATTAACCTATTTACACTACCTACTTTACGTGGATTCCTTAGGCCGTAGGCTATCCGACATGAAAGCGAGTGATCCGCGTAGCTCGATGGTGCCGCAGTGTAAACGTATTGCAGTTGATTGCGAGCCACATACTCGTACAGTTGATTTCGCATGGTAAATATTCGCAAAGAATCGTCTTTCGTTTGTAATTATTTTTTGGCGGATAATGTGTTTATATAAGTCTTAGATCACCTAATTATATATGGCGAGGATTGAAATCAACACTCTGTATTATCAAATCTCTTGTCACACGGCTCTTTAGATTACGAATATCTTTCTGTCAATATAGGCACTTACGTTACTTACGCCCGTATTGACAAACGATGGCTGCTTAAGTGAAGCAGCAAATCGAACGTGCAGCGTTGAATAGAGCTCTGTGATTGATTCGTGTGTTACCCTGTGCGTCCACGCGCACTGTGATACCTCATAGTAATGTTTGTGAATACGGGCTAAAATCCAGGCTGAATTTTAGCCGAAATCTCTTCCTATCTAACAATGATGAAATGACGTATCCCAGTTCTTTACAGGCTTTTAGCTTGTTCTAAATCGAGAACACTGATGTACTTATTTTAGCATAAAGTCACGTAACACACGCGTCTTGCGTACATTATTATACCCAAACAGTGATATGTAGATTTTAGAGATGTAGGACGTGTAAAGTGCTTTTCAAAACAAAGACTTGTTTGTATAATTTGTATAAGTAAAGTAGAAATATGTAGTAATGCTAAACATCATAGCACGGGGATGATTAAGCATTTACACATAGAAAACCCCCAGTTTTAAGTAAGTACCTACGGAACCGTAAAACACTTATTTATTAAATAACGCATTTATACAGAGTGATTTTGCAAACTGTTGACCCAGGAGCGTCAGAATCATTAACTTAATCAATTTATGTTTACGTTATAAATTAAAAATAAAAAAAACTTTTTTAGAAAACTTTTTTTTTCATTTCATTATTTTTGACAACAGGTAAAAATAATTAAACATTAAAAAAGTGTTTACGTAAGGGTCCTTCCTTCCCACGGCAATCCAGTTTTGCGGTATCCAGTAATGCAGGATCCTGCAAAACTGGATTGTCGTTTACGTAGGCGTTACATAATACAGGCTGGTCGCATTAATATTACAAAGCACCTCGACACCTCCGTCGGTTTTATTTTGCCAACCCTTTTAGTGTTGCCGTTTGTGTGAACCCTAAATAGGGTTAGCAGTTCTTGTAAATATTTTAACTAGATTTTGCCTACAGCTTTGCCTGGAAAAAAATCAGTTTGTCACAGAAATAGGTATGCTGCACACCGGCTTCTTGACCACGCGGAACGACTGGCCAGCAAAAAGAACTGGATTTTTTTTTCATCGACGAATTGTATCTTGACTCTGATTTTTCTCACGTAATGCTTTCTCCACAACTCGACGTTTTAATATTTTTTTAAGTCGGAACACAACTATTATTTTAACGTTTTTTACCACATAATCTCTAGCAATGCTTTATTTACTACGCATTGGAACCACGTACTTAACACACATGATTTAGATCCGCCCTCAACCAGCCACCTAGCGTCAATTAATCAGTTATTCCGTACCCTTTTACAGTATTAGAGCATCTAATATTATCCTCCTCTTTCTTACCTTTTCTATTGTTTTATTTCCAACAGAATTAATTTTAAATTGTGACAACCCTATATTGGATTACGTAGCGTTTTCACCTTTGACTGACTTGCTGAAAAGAAGCCTTTTCACATTTACATGTGTCGTACGTTTGTAGAAAGAGGGCAATTTCTTTGGATTTAATTAGAACGTTTTAATTGCCGTTTTAGGTTTCTAATTAGTTTATTTTTGTGACCTAGATGTTTTTATAAGTATATATGGTGATAATTTCACATCATAGTTCGTTAGCTCGTTTCAGCCTAATGACGCCCACTGCTGGACAAAGGCCTCGCCCAAGGATTTCCATAACGACCGGTCTTACGCTGCCTTCATCCAAGTATTTCCCGTGACCTTCACGAGATCGTCAGTCCACCTTAATCAGGGCTTGCCCACACTTCGTCTTCCGGCCCGTGGTAGAGCGAACTTTTTTACATAGCTGACATAATTAAATACCTGTAAATGCTTTTTCACTCGAGTTTTAAAAACACCTAGGTTAGAGAGTGGGAAAACTATAGAAGAGCATTCTTGAAGTAGCTATCTGTCTTTTTATCCCACTGCGCCAGAAGGAGGGTTATGTTTTCTTTTTTTCATCTGACTAATGAAAAAAATCCTTAACGTCAATCCATTCACTAAATACTGCAATATTATGCAATAATCTGAGTGTAGTGTGACTATAGTCTGTACTTTAAAACTTTAATGGCCACTCCGCTACCCGCGAGTGGCTCACGAGTGGCGGACGAGTGGCCGACGAGTGGCCGGCGAGTGGCGGAGTGCCAGACAAGTGGCAGTGCCACGTCGAAACTGAATCGTGGTTTTACACAATCTTGCTAAAATTTAACGCATGGACTAGCTCAACATTATGTAGTTGTAACATTTTTTTTTCCAAAAACAGCCCCTCTTTTAGAAAAATATGTGTTTTCTGATGTTTCATCGAATAAGTTTACCAACTTAATGATTATTTTATAAATAAAGCTTGAAAATGCTTCATTGATAGTTAGAGGATCTGGTATGTATACGGTATACCTAACTAACTACGTTAAAAGAAATGGTTGTGTTTCTTTTTTAATATCATTACAGGTAGAAAAAATTCTCCAAAGTATCTTTCAGAAAAATAGCTAGTATCCTAGATAGGTATTACTTTTACGTTGAATGTATTTTTTATTAATATAAATTCATTTCCTTGTTCACAGGACTGCAGCGGAGACGTGAATCGTGTGAACAAAATTTGTGAAAGTAGAAAATCTCGAGTGTTCAGTGTTCACGTAGAATTTAGCAAACCAGTGTAAATTCAGTGAAACCATATTCTAAATTAAAAACCTAAAGCAAAACTAGTGTAAACAAGTAAGTAGATACCTAAATTTTAAAAGCTTCGAGTGTGCAAAAAAAAAACAGTTTCAAAATTCGAGTGCGACAAAACAAAAACCAGTGCGTGAATTTTAAAACGAAACAAAAGAGTGCGTTAATATTTAAATTTGAATAAAAAAACAAAGCCAGTGCGTAAATTTGAAATTGGAATACGAAAATCAAACAAAAAGTGAGCGCATAATTTTGAAATTCGAATACAAAAACAAAAGACAGTGCGAATGTTCGTCACCCGCGTAAATCAACAGAAGACAATACTCAGTGACAGTGACACTGGCAGCCAGTGGAGTAGTGAAGGGTTAGGCGGAGTAGTGATGTGCCAGTAGTGTTGGGATTGATGGTGTTGCCACAAATGCGGGCGAGCGGCCCGGGAGGCCGGCAGGTCAATGACATCGCCGGCACTGACTGTGCTGTTTTTAGCACTTGGTAAGTGTTCTTTTAAAGTACATTACATTAACATATATCTATATTTTTACTAGCCAATTTGCCTAAAAAGAAAAATGTTTAGTTGTTTATTTTAATATCTAGAGGCGACAACGATTTCGGTGCCAATTCGACAGTCACTAGTTCGATTCCCGTCGACCGTTGAACTATTGTGGGTAGGTAATGATAATATTAGTCAATGGACAAGACAAAAATCATGTCTAATGTCCGTGTTGCAACCACTCCTCTGAAGGTTGGAGACTCTACACTCGAAGTTGTTGACAATTATGTATAGGTACCTGGGACAAACAGTCCACCCAGTTAGGTAGTTGAAAAAAATCCGAAATTCACGCATTATGCTGAAAAAAGCTAACTCTTTCCATGAACCGTTTTTTTTATCAACAACGAGGAAGCTCTTGGCCTGTATCTCACCTCATGGTAAGTGATGATCAGGGCGAAGAAGGAAGAAGCGCAATGAAAATATACAAGAAACATAAAGATCTTTCAGATTCATAAGATTCCTGACTATAATTGCTTGCATAATAATCCCATAGTTCCTGTATTTTGTCTGATAATTCCATCGTCAAACGAAGATGAATCTTATTTCCTTATAATAAAGACTGTCTATTTATCTTATACTTTATGTATTGTATTTGATAAATTCATAGCCAAACGATAGTGAATCTTATTTCCTTGTATTAAGAATGCCAGCTATATTATCCTATACATCTTGTATTGTATTTGATAAATCCATCACCAATCGAAATTGTACTTTATGTCCTTGCAATAAAGACTGCCAGCAATATTATGTTTAGTATCGGATTAATGTCAAATATCTTTGGATATATCGTGAGTAGGGGTTATTGGTTTGACCCCAATAGGGAAAAAGAAGGGGATTTTTAATGGCATCTAATATAGCAGAAATGTATGTATTTAAAACCTTATTGCATACGAAATAAGGTACAGAACCGTATTAGATAAAATAGTAAGATCTCAGATCACACTATGATCTGAGAGTAAGATTGTAGAGATAGTTTAACGCTCGTATTCACAAACTCCCACTAGGTGGACCGACGATCTGGTGAAGGTCGCGGGAGGTGCCTGGATGCGAGCGGCGCAGGACCGGTCTTTGTGGAAATTCTTGGGGGAGGCCTTTGTCCAGCAGTGGACGTATTTCAGCTGAAGCGAACGAACGAATTCACAAACATTACTATGAGGTCTCACAGTGTGCGTGAACGCACGGGGTGACACAATAACCGGCCACAGAGCTCTATTCAACGCTGTGCGGTCGATTTGCTGCTTCACTTAAGCAAGCATCGTTTGTGAATACGGGCGTAACACTGCACTCAGAGGATTTTTTTATCCTGTTTTTGGAAGGTTTACAAATGAACGCTCTCGTATTCACAAACGATGCTTGCTTATCTAAGAGAAACAGCAAATCGAACGCACATCGTTGAATAGAGCTCTGTGACTGGTTCATGTGTCACCCTGTGCGTCCACGCGCACTGTGAGACCTCATAGTAATGTTTGTGAATACGGGCGTAAGTATTTATGTGACAGACCAAAATTCATATTATTATTAGCGACTCACAAGCAAAAGCTAGTAAGGTACAGTCAGCGTCAAATAGTTCGTGACACCCAAAGCAGCCAAAAAGTTCGCAACACGTCTTTGTTACAATTGGAATAAGGTTGAATTGTCAACTTATACCCACGATAGCCCAACGGTGATCCGTGAGCCGATCCGAGCCCAAGTGGTCAAAGTCAAAAGTCAAAATTTCTTTATTTGTTTAGACTAATAAATAGTTCTTACAAATCGTCATTTTGCTCTTAAGGAGCCTCTACATGTCTCATAATCTTTTTACCCTACCAGCGCTTCGAGACCAACATTTGGCAAGTGCTGAGAAGAAGCGCCGCAACAAACTCAGTCACCACNTAATATAAATAAATAGAAATAGTAGTAGTAGGTACATTCGATTCAGGAGCAGTTCACTGAATTTACCATGCATTCTTGTATGGTGTATCTTATAAGAATGGGTATACAAGATTGCGTGGTATATTAAACAAGGTAGTGACGTGCTAATATCTAGACTTACATATTAAGATACTAGTAGAAATGACTCGCATACATAAATTTGAATAACTTGGATTGACCAGTCCCCGAAAGCAGCGCCTGTTCACAGACATGACGAGTGAACCAGCCATCGCTTCACTCGACCATATTAGAGGGAATGTAACGACCCGCCTCACTACGCCACCACCCCAGAGACATTTTAGTGAGAATGACAATTCTAAGTTAGGTCGGACTGGCCGACTCGAGATCCGAGGAACGCAGGTTCGAATCCCACCGCCGCTCGACTATTGTGGTGAGTCCACTCGTAACACAAGCTTATTTAGCTTAACACGAGGGGCTGCCGGACTATTAGTAATTTATGAAATACAAATTGCTAATAATCTTTAAAAAAAAAACTTTTTGGCGACTATAGGACTATTTCTGATTGCATGTAAGAAAATATAGAAATAATAAATCGCACTATTAAAAAACTATTTACGATCCGTTTTTCGGTAATAACGTATTAAAGCTATAGGCCTTTAGCCTCCGTTTTAGCCAATTCAACATTTTTTCCTAACATAAGTCCAATTCTCGCTCTTGTCGGAACAGGTATTTATTATAAGGCTTATTACCCACTGGCAATGAGAACGATTAGGTATAGGTTTTATTATACTTAACTCAGTATTAGGTATACTTAACTCAGTGCCTGAGGTATGGAAGCAGTACAGTGTGCCTACCATGAGTTCACGTTAGGTGTGCTCGCTAGCGACTGCGTAAAAAATGACATTTAAATGTATGACATATTGTGCAGCGCCCCTAGCGGCTACTTTCAAGAAATAAAATCTTCATAGAATTTTTTGACGTATTCGCTAGCGAGCTCACCTAACGTAAACTCATGGTAGGCACACTGGAGGGTGTTTTTGAGACGTCAAATAACTTCAGATTTCTTTCAAACTTGTATGCTCTGTCACGTCAAATGTCAATGCACTCAAAATTAGTTTGGTTACTGCTTACACAACAAAAGTGACCACCGAACTAAGTGTTAACTATAACCAAACTAAGTCTAGCTCACTACAGAATTATTTGTTTAATTTACACAACATTTTTTTCCTCATAACCAAAGTGTTCGGTGGTCACTTTAGTTGTGTAAGCAGTAACCAAAAATTTTTTTCCATGCCTCAGCTAGCCTCAGCTACTCACTCAGAGTCACTAGACCTATAGTAAAATCGTATAATAGCCAGTCCAGGCCAGGTAAGCTCTATAATATGCTTACTTTAGTAGCGGTTCACCTCAATAGTCCAGCGGCCGGAAATCGGCAGTTCACGTCTAAATAGGGCTACCTTTTTCGACCTACCAAAAATAGTCGTACAGCTGGATAAAGGCCTCCCTCAAAGATTTCGATAACGACCGGTCCTACGCTGCCCGCATCCAAGCTCTTCCCGCGACTTTCACCAGATCGTCGGTCCACCTAGTGGGAAGCCTGCCCACGCTACATACATACAGCTCGCTTCCACCTTTGACCTGATCGTCACTTACCATCAGGTGAGATACAGGCTAAGAGCTTCCTCGTTATGGATAAAAAAAATCTTCCGGGCCGCGGTCGCCACTCGAGAACTTTAAACACGAGAAAAATAGTCGATGGGGGCAGAACTCGACTTCTCAAATCGGCAGTGAATAACCTTAACTTACCAAAAACTTGGCCATTTAAACTTCCCGAGTATAGGGCTATTGTCACTTTTTCGACCTACCAAAAAACTTAAACCATTCAAACTCCCCCGTGAGCACGTAGCTTTACGACAGACCTAATAACGCTTACGCGGCGCTTCGTTACATGCTCGAAACGTGTCCGACAAAACATAAAGTTTCCTACAATAAAAGCTTAGAGATCGTGGTTTATTTAGGTGCGTAAATCGTATAAAAACTATTTCTATAATCGTATTTGTTAGTGTATTAGGTATCTACGATATAGGCCACACTAATAGAAACTGACAATAATTTAGAGTAACTATTGATGAAAATGGACTCAAAAAGATTCAATATCCTTAAAATTACTTCACTTTGCAATCAATGGAGTATCTACAAGTATACTCAAAGCACTAAATACTTTACGAGAGCTCGACTTCTTCAACTTTATTTCTTTGAACATTATGTTACATCGCTTAAAGTAAAGACTACTTAAAAACATAAGTAAAGACTACTTTAACTTCTAATAATTTAACTTTGCATTTCAATTAGGTACTGAAACATCTCCTACACCATCAAAGTACCAATTTGTAACAGCACACAGTGTGATATTAATTACAAATAATCAATTTTTAGAATGAATTCTGTCATATTTACTTCACAACGCACTGCCCTACTTGTAGGGTAGAGTACCCTTTTTGTAGCCTAATAGGCTTTGCCTTGCAATTCTTGACTAATAGGAATGAAGAAATTGTTATTTTTATTACTTTAATGTACCAGAATGAGTGTCTGATGAAATAAACATGTTTTTATGAAATTTCCTTAGAGCGTAAAATTAAAGATTGCGAAATCGTAACAATAAACATACCAAGTATAAAAGCCCACAAAAATATAATAAAAATGTGTACAAAAATCGCTCCAAAACCACAACAATACGCCACATTCCCACCCGGTGCTCATCAATCAAACGTTCTGTTTACAAGTCATTTCGCACTGTATTGGCAACAAAATAATAATGTTTCGGAAGAAAATATTATATTTTCAGCCCTCATATTATGTTGTATTTCACGGAGCATTTATCTACCTATATAGATATATCTGTCTGTGGTTCTGTTACCTTTTTACCTTTTACTGATTTAGGGTTAGACTAAAAGCATAGAGATAGTTTGAGGGTAAAACCTACCATCTGTTCATCTGTTTGTCACCTGTTCATACCCAACTGATTTAGACGAAAGGTATAGAAATAGTTTGAGGCCCAGGAAATAGGATA